CTATCGGTAAAGTCATGTAGAATGGAAATAATAAAATAAGATAAATGAACCATAATAAAATAATTATTTTATTATAAAAATGAAAGCATAATAAATAATATTTTATTATGTTTTATTATTTTATTATTTCCATTCTACGTGACTTTACCGAAAGAACCAAGAAGATGAATCCCTGCAGTCACGAAAGCTTTAAATCGAAATTTAGCAAAGGTTTGTCGCGTAAACAAAACGTGGCAACCGAGTGTGGAGAGTGAACCCACCCACAGCATCTCCGCACAAGCCAGCCCTTTCATTGGCGTTCGATGTTTTTGTTTTATTGCGGTACTTTCCCGGTGGTGGTGCGGTATCTTCGGAATCCTAGGTAAAGGAAAGAACCTCACTTTTCGCAAGCTGGGGCAAGACGAACTCTCCTCCCTCCGTGCCGTTCAGTGGCCGATATCCCCTCCCCCCCCCGTTGCCCCCTCTCCCCCTCCCTCTCCGTTACTCGTGGTGCAGTGCAGCAGAGCAGCCGTCAGCCGCCACCCCCAGCCCTCTCAACTGCCTCGCTCGCGCGCTGCGCTGTTGGGATTGTTACTTTCTTCTTTGGATTCGGTGTGGCCATGACTATCGAGCGGGTTACAAAGCGTGGGGCGTCGTGGAATGAATGAGGCAGAGAAAGAAGCAGTGTTGCATTGCACTTGCGAAGAGATGGGCTAGGTACGGCTTGCTCGCGTTACTGCACGTGGGAAGGAACTCTGCAGAGGCCCACCTCTTGAGTGTGTTAGCCAGACGTCTTGGCAAATGTGCGATTACCCACACTTTACCCCACAACACGCAACCTGCCGATCGAACCAACTGTGGGCTGCCACGGTGGCGAGATGTTAAACTACCTCGCCTGGTATACAGAGGGTAGTGGGTTCTATCCCGACCTTGACGCCTGCTGTATATTTAGAGTTTGCATGTTCTCTCCCAACGTGGTTGCGTGGATTTTTCTCCGAGTCCTACGGGTTTTCCCTCCACATATAGAGTGAACGCGCGTTCAGAGTATTTGGCTGCTATAAATTTCCACAGTGATAAGCCACTTCGTTGAGATATCATTTGTGGCCAGGTCGCTTCTTAAAAAGAGCTACATAGCTCAGTGAGCCTTACCTGGTGAAATAACAAAACGAGTGTGCACAGATGTGCGCCGGGTTTTCAGAAACTTTCCGCTGTTGTTTCAACTTCTGTGCTGCTGGGACCTGGAATCGAAACGGCGCATTTTTTAGATTGCAAGTCCAGAGCCCTCACCGTAACAGCGTGGCAGCATTCCTAAATGGCCTGTAACGCACCCAGCAAAAGCCCACAGTCAGCCAGCTCTGTGCCGGTCACGAGCAGCTGCATGCTCCTGGTTGTTTTACTCGTTTTACCTCCCACCCCTATAAAAAAAAAAAACTAAAACAGGCGATGGATGTGTTGGCACTGGTGCACAAACATAAATGAAGAACTAAAAGCACGTGTGTTAATAACACCGCCCAACGTTTCAGGCAATGACCCTGCATCGCAAAAAGCTTTTAAGCTGGTCCTCACAGACATGCGAACGCTGGGCTTGCTGCTGCGCTTGGAATATAAATTCATCACCATCATCACTAGCAGCCTTTGGTCAATCCAATGCTGGATGGGGGCTTCCCCAAGCCACCGCACCTATCACGGTCCCTCGACGCGCGTCGCGACAAGCCACCCAGCACCTACCCATGGTCTCGTCTCGCCGGAGCTCCGTCAACTAAATTGGCGCAAGCGTTTCTGTTGACTTATTGTCCCATTAAATAAGTGAAATAGGTGCCGAGTTAGCCACGGATGCACAAGTTGAACGCGCCGTTGTTGTGTTTGATGAGAAACAATAATCGGATAAACACCGTTCCATCGATCCAGCCGGCACTTGCTTATTTTACCGAGAGCAGGAGCCGCCCGTGCTAATGCAGAAGGCCCAATTGTTGCAATTAATAATTGCACCATATAGTAATTAGGCACTTACGCCCGGCTGAATGTCCTCGTCGATAGCCGGGGGAGAGGGGAGAGGGGGAGGAAAAAAGCTGCAATTAAATGTTAACACCACTCTCGACCACCGCCGGTTCAGACAATGTTGGGACAACGGATGGAGGCCACGCACAATCCCCCTCGGCTCGTGAGCTGCACCTGCGCCGTTCCGGGGAGACGAGAGGAGAGCTCCATTGTCGTTGTTGACGGGGAGGTGTTATATTGTTGATTGTTTATCTTGTTTATTGTTTATCGTCGTTGTGCCGCGTGCGTGTTACGGCCCTGCCAAACGATTTGTGACACCTGCAGCATTGAACGCTGCGGAAAAGCGGGGGGGCGGGGGCTGCGGGGGGGGCAGCGGAGGGCGGGGGGGCAGCGAGAGGGGGGGGGGGCAGTGGGGGGGGGCAGCGGGGGGCGGGGGTTTGGGGGGTCACGTCTTGCATCCAACCGGGAGGTGGTCATCAATCATCTCGGGCGGGGATCGGATGGTAAACACCAGAAGCAGCTCACACCAAAAAAAATAACGAAAGCACCCACACGGGACATCGCGGCACGGTAGGGGGAGAGCGGCCGCGTGAGAGTTATTTTCCAGACCCTGGGCACAAAGAGGGCAATTTGCGAGCAGGCGCTGTTCGTCCCCACAGCGCATTTGAAGTTTACTTTCGAGGACTGCAGCGCCCCAGCAGCTTAAAACAACAACAAAAACGAATTCTAGATTTTAAGCTTTCGTGACCGCAAGAATTGATACTCTTAGGTTTTTTCGGTAAAGTCACGTAGGTAAAAAATAAATAATACAAATGAAATAGTAGAAATAATATAAATAAAATGATAAATAAATAATAATAATAAATAATAGAAATAATTATAGAAATAAAATTATAAATCACGACGTTTCGGAGGCAACACAAGTCTCCGTCATCAGGTGGGACCGTCACAGCCAGATTTACTGTATCAAGTGAGGCAAAATTCCACCTGATGACGGAGACTTGTGTTGCCTCCGAAACGTCGTGATTTATAATTTTATTTCTATTATTATTTATATTATTAAAAATGTATTATTTATTTTTTACCTACGTGACTTTACAGAAAAAACCTAAGAGTAACAACTAAAACTATTTACGAGCGTCTAAAATCAACCTCCTGGCCACTGTCCACTCAGCAGGACTTATACAGCGATGCACCAACAGCGAGTCGGGGCTTGGCAGGTTTGCGAGCGGTGGGATAAAGCGACGGGTCACTCCCGCCGTCTCCAGCGTGGAAGACGAAGCCAGAAAACACCCTCTGAGAGAGTGCGCCCTCTCGGGAGTTCAAGTTTCAAGTTCATTTATAAGGTATAGCCCTGCGAGCCATTCGGCTCTTGAATCGGGTGCAACCGCAACAAACAGAAAACAAAAACGTGAACAAGAAAACATCTTAAAGTGACTATGTGCAAACAGAAAATCCAAGAAAAGACAGCAAAATATTGCAGAAAAATATTGCAGTTCCCACCGGTGGAGGCACGTTCCGCCAAGCGGTGGCGTGAGAAATTGCAGGGCTGCACCTTTTTTTAAGCACCCGGTATATCCCTTATAACCGATCGTTTTTTGCTTGGAGCTGACCTGAAAAAGCCACCCTACCGTAGTTTCCCCCCTTCCATCCCAACCCCCAATAGCAGGGGCATTATGGCTGTTGGGGAGTGGCACGTGGCGAGTTCAATCTGGGCTGGACACAGCAGCAGCAGCAGCAGCCGTCAGCATCGTCTTTTGCCAATGTGTACTGGCTGTGGTTACGAGGAATGAGTTAATTGAAATGTAAATTTAAAATATACTTAAGGGACTGCCCATTGGCAGTGCGGCTCGAGCACAAATAACAAAAGAACGCAGCGTTCTTCATTAACGATTTTTCCTTTTTTACAATTAAGGTAATAGCTCAAAGGCGCGAAAACCCAGGCAGTAACCACCAGTAATGTTTGTAACAACGACGATGCACGGACATTTAATTTGTCCGCTGCTGGCTGTAGGCCCTTCCGATGGCTCGTTGGTAATGGGGAGTTATTTATCCACACGAATGTACAGGGTGGTCTTGTGACTGCCATTGAATGCTTTGAAACTTAATTAAAAAAAAAAACTTCTTCTTGGTTCTTTCGGTAAAGTCACGTAGAATGGAAATAATAAAATAATAAAAATAAAACATAATAAAATAATTCTCAATTGTCTTCTCGACAGACCTGTTCTCCACCTGAGGACGGCTGCTTGCGTTGTGGCCGAAACGTCGTGAGAATTATTTTATTATGTTTTATTATTATTATTATTGTATTATTTCCATTCTACGTGACTTTACCGAAAGAACCAAGAAGATGAATCCCTGCAGTCACGAAAGCTTTAAATCGAAAAAAAAATTGTTATTTAAAACAGAAATTAATATGCAAGAGGGCAAAAAATGTTAAGGGTCAATTAATGTGGGGGTCGCAATACGATGCTGTTGTGTCGTTTCTGGCGTACGATTTCACGACCAATATTACAATTCACAAACAGTTCCGTTTGGGGTCGATCGCGGTTGCTGTTGTTGTTGGTACAGCAGACGATATGATGGAGCAGAAGCAGAGCTCCACGGTGAACAGGACTTGAGATGAAAATTGACGCCCGTGTCAATTGGTATCGCTGTTGAGTGACGGCTGAAATCAGCAACAGCAGCAGCTGGTGCTGTTGTTGTTGCTATTGTTGTTGTTGCTGCTGTTGTGCAGAAATCAGGTGGAACAATGCACTCGAGGGACTGCATGATGTAAACATGATGCGCCTGAATTTACATGCTACATCAATTAAAATTGCTGTTGAGTGACGGCTGCTGCTGCTCCTCCTGCTGCTACTGCTCTTACTCTGCTGCTGCTGCTGCTCTTACTCTGCTGCTGCTGCTCTTACTCTGCTGCTACTGCTGCTGCTCCGCCTGCTGCTGCTCCTTCTCCTGCTGCTGCCCCTACTCGCACCGCTCATACTGCTGCCGCTCGTGCTGCCCCTGCTCCCGTCTCGCAGGCGGAATGATGGAGCAGGAGCAAGGCTGCATCCGCCTGCACGGCGTGAGCGCCGCGGGGCTGCGTCAGATCGTGGCGTTCATCTACACGGCGCGCCTGCCGCTCAGCATGGACTCGCTCGCAGACACGCTGGAGGCCGCCAGCTTCCTGCAGATCCTGCCCGTGCTCGCCTTCTGCAAGGACTTCCTCATCTCCGAGGTGCTGCCCCCTCCCGCCGCCCTCCTCGGCCTCCCCCATCCCCCCCCCCCCCACGGCAGTTGCGAGGCCCGCGGGGCACTGGTGGCCCCTGACGGCCTGATGTGCGGCCCCTCCCCGACAAGACACAACGACCCCCCCCCCCCCCATCATCATCGAGCAGCTGTCAATCTCCCCAATGGTTTCAAATGTTGTGGCTTGGCTCTCCAACACACCGGTGTGCTGTACTAGTATACTACACTATACACTACTATACACTACTATACACTACTATACACACTACACACTAGTGCTGTACTAGTGACGAATTGGCCACGTTCTGTTTACGTGATAACCCTTACCAGTTGGCTGTGTTGGGTGGTGGCGGGTTTAACGACGCATTTATATATTTCGATCTAAAGCTATTCGTGACTGCATGGATTCATATTCTTGGTTCTGTCGGTAAAGTCATGTCGAAGGGAAATAATAAAATAATAAAAATAAAACATATCTTATTATAATAACAAATAAAACACATCTTATTATGTATTTATTTTTATTCCTTTCTTATTTCCCTTCTACGTGACTTTACCGAAAGAACCAATAATATGGACACATTTAGACATTTACGCGATCTAACCCAAAAACCTCTATTGTGGAAAACGCAGATAATACACGTTCAGCTGTTTGTAAATCCACCGTTGGTCGAAGGCCTCCCTCACACCGCGCGGTCTTGTTGGGGTCACTTGACCATACATCACCGTGTTGTTCAGCGCGGGTTGATGAAGAGTGAGCTCAGGAGTGGCTCATTTATCACCCGCCACTGACGTGAGCCATAGCCAGGAATCGAACTCGGGGGTGGCTGGGTTCGTAGCAGAGTGTGCCAGCCTCTGTGCCGCAGATCCACTCCCGGCATGGGAATGTGGAATTTCCGCATCTGGTTTCTGGACCACGTACCTCCCAGCGCTTGCTGTCCGTGTGTGCAGACACACACGGTTGATGTATTTTTCCTTGTCGTTGCTATTATTAAATTTCGATTTAAAGCTTTCGTGACTGCAGGGATTCATCTTCTTGGTTCTTTCGGTATAGTCACGTAGAATGGAAATAATAAAATAATAAAAAATATTTTATAATGTAGTATTTTTATTATTTTATTATTTCCATTCTACATGACTTTGCCGAAAGAACCAATAAGTTGCTATTATTCTTTGCAGCCGTAGCCGCCGAAGTGAAGCTCCGTCATTTGTGTTATTTGTGTCGTAATTTGTGGTGGCCCCTTTTTAATTTTGCAGAGCGTAAATCTCGTCGATGCATTAACGCGACGCGTCGCCTGTGGTTTACAGCGCTGAGCCACGCCGGGTCGGGTAAGGGGGCTGCTACTTTTAGAAACTCATTTGAGTACGAAAATCCGCACTCCGGCCCAGAGCCACGTTCAGATTGTTTCGCCGTGACACTGAAGCAGGTAGTGACCAAAACAAAATGAAACTCAACAGATTCGTCAATAACACTGCGGCCTTAACAATAACAAGCGTCTCATACTTGCTTCTTTCGGTAAAGTCACGTAGAATGGAAATAATAATAAAATAATAAAAATAAAACATAATAAAATAATTCTCACGACGTTTGGGCCACAACGCAAGCAACCGTCCTCAGGTGGAGAACAGGTCTGTCGAGAAGACAGAATCTAAATGACGTCATTCAGACTCTATAGGGTTTATTCCCCTTTATTTTTTTGGAAAGCTGTCCCTGGTGTGGACCAATCAGTTTCAATGACAATGCATAAATTACCAGTGTGTTTTTTTTTTTTGCATTCTGACTGCAAGTATTGTGGTTAATCTAAACATGATTCCTATTATTATATTTTGGTACTGGCTAAGGAGGCCTGGTGATGCTGTTGAGTATTGTTTTGTTAACTGTATCGGGAGCGGTCGTGTAGCGGTTAGCGCTATGCTGCGCTACGAACCTGCCCATCCGAGTTCGATTCCTGCTCATGGCCAACACCAGTGACTATTATCTGCACCGGTCCTGGGCTTCCCCTAGGTCGACTCGGCCTCAAATGAGTACCTGGTGCGGTGTGTAAATTCCTCCACTCGGGAGACATCCGAGTCCGAGTTCGATTCCTGCTCACGGCCAACACAAGTGACTATTATCTGAACCGGTCCTGGGCTTCCCCTAGGTCCACTCGGCCTCAAATGAGTACCTGGTGCGGTGTGTAAATACCTCCACTCGGGAGACAAACTCGGCCAGGCGTGGACCCTGGCCACCCACCCCTGGTGTGCCGTTCCGCCATTCATAGGTGCTCGCTAACACGACTTGCCCCATCAGCCTGTTAAAGCTATACGGGGGATCTTTGTCTTTTGTTTATTGTGCTTGTGCACGACTGCAAGCGCAGCAGCACCAAGTAATTTGTAGCAAGTCCACAGCACGCCACTTTGAACAACCACGGCATCCGCTTGCCCAGCCCTAATTTTGTTCGTCAAATTAGCACGTGAACATACATTTTGATTTATTTTATTTCAGCCAATGGTGTCGACGAGTGAATGAAAAATAATTGAAAGCGTGACGATGACCACGACAGGCGTTTCGAGTGTTTGGCTGTTGCTATCAATTTCCACGCAACGAGCCACGTGGCTGAGCTGTCATTTGTGACGGGCAGTCGCTTCTGAAAAAAAGGGCTGCATAACTTCCCAGCAGGACCTTACCCGGTGAAAATAAAAAAATGTTCATTTTTTAGTTTAGACACCGCTACCTCGCCAAAAACCAAAGCGCGACTGACTGACGAGGCGAAATTAACGAGCCTGCCAGAATATGCAGATTGAGATAATTTAGTGATCCCATTAGAGACTGCAGTGCACTGGAGAAAATCCTAAGATGGTAATTGGCTATATATATGCAAAGATTTACTGCGTTCGCTGATTGGCTAAATGGATAACATTGCAGGCAGGAAATCGTACGCCCCTCACACCGACGTTTAATATATTGGGGTGCCACGGTGGCGAGATGCAGGAGGTCGTGGGTTTGATTCTGACCCTGACGCCTGCATATTTGGAATTTGCGTGTTCTCACCATGGTCGCGTGGATTTTTCTCCGGTTTTTCCCTCCACATTCAGACACATGTGTGAAGGGTATTTGGCTCCTATGAATTTCCACGTGATAATAAAGCCACTTCGTTGAGCTATCATTTGTGGCCAGGTCGCTTCTGATAAAGAGCTATACAGCTCAGTGGGACTTACCTGGTAAAACATAAAAAAATAACATAGTTAAATAGTGAAATAGTTTTAAAGAACGAAACGTTTAGACCGCTTAAGTCGACGAGACTGGGAGAGAGCGAAGTCCACAGACTAAAGCTGGGAAAAATGTTTCGCACAGGATGCGATCGGCTCGACTGAGACTACAAATTAATAAAAAACACACGGACTGAATTAAAAACGATCCGAATTCCCGCGATGGATCACCGTGCATTCGCTAACTTTCCCTTGCCTGCCTTGTGCCCGGCCAATCAGCGGTACAACTTTTTTTTTTTTACAAAACACGAGAAGTCGATATTCACTGATAAAGCAAAACAAGATGGTTAACATTGAGACCGATGACTGGGTCTTCATTTAGGGCTTATCAGAAGTCCCCATGATTGCCCACAGGCGCAAATATCGACTCTTGTTTTCCCTTCTTTAGTGCTTATTGATTTACCTATTGTTGGCTGACTAATAAGTAACACTGAGGCAGGCTCTTGAATTAGACACAGTGCCCTTTTGGCGAGTCGTGTGCGTTCGTGGTCATCATCATCAACATCGGCGTTGTCAGTCTTGATCGATCCACTGCTGGATGAAGGGCTCCACTCCCTCCCCCCCCAACCAAAGCCGTCACTATCCCTCGACGGTCCTGCGATAGGCATGAGCCGACGCTGCACCAGCACGTGAGCGGAACTCATCGCTCCATCTCCGCAGGGCACGTGCTCTCGGGACGCGTTCTCTCCGTTGGCTGTCACTACATCCCGAGTCTTAGCCACCAGCCAGCGTGCCTTCTCACAGCAACATGTCCCCTCCGACAACACACTTGCTTTGCATGAGACGTTCACTGCGATGTCGTCTCTAACTTGCTGCGGATTCGCGTCCACGATGATAATTTCAAGATTGCACCTCCGTGCTGTTGAGGGTTTTTGTTTCACAAACATGAGATTGTGTGCACTGCAGAGAGAACATTTTTAAACGCGCAATCGCAGTGCCTTATCTTATCTGTGTCAACACCAGCAGGAGGAAGAGGCGTTATTGGCAGATTTGTGAAAAATTACTCCCGATATCCGTGTTTAATTATTTGTGGCCAAACTCGGATAATAGGATCAACACACGTGGTGGATACTAGATTCAGTCCAGCGCTTCCAGGTTATTTATCTGCGAGATGAATGAAAATGATAGCGGTCATGCTGCTACGTGTGGGCCACTCCATTTATCTCTGGATACATGTGGAAGACGGGATACATTTTCCCACCACTGCCAGGTTGGGCCTCTGGTTTACAAAAAAAAATCATTCGAATAGGACAAAGCGACTGTTTTCTGGGTCCAGGGATGAGCGGCGGGGATAATGGAAAGAAGTCACGTTACCGAAGGAACCAAAGAGTATGGATCCTTGCAGTCACGAAAACTTCAAATCTAGAAATAATGGGAAGAACCCACGTGTGGGATGAACAGAAATAATAATCGACATCCCTCGGGATTTGATTGAGGTCACGGATAATACCAGGTATCACAACCAAGTGTGACGTTTCACTTGTGCGAGTCCATGAGTGCTGAACAGATGTTTCACTTGTAGGACCCAACGGAGGTGGTATCAATTCATTGCTTCCCGTTTCTCTGTGTGGCCAATTGCAGTGAATTTTGTGATACCCATTTAAATTTAAGTGGGGTGGTAAAATAATTCACCCTCTAATTACATCGGTACTATCAAAGTTGTTGCTACCTTATATGGTACCAATTTCTGTTCTGGTTCATTGACTATTAAAAAAACACATTCGCCAATAACTCTGCCTTAATAGGAAGTAATTCAATAGCGCTGCCTTCCTATTCAGGCATTGATATTGATTAATGTGTTTTTTATTAGCTTATCTGTGCTCGTACCCCTCTGCCAAACGCAGCAGCGCCATCACCGAAATAAGCGTTTGATTTCCACGAGCTATATTTTGCAGCAGTGAGAGTGCGCAACACCGTACGTGAGCGTGCGTGTGTTTGCGAGCGCGTGCCAGTGCAATGCGCTGCGGCGTATATTTAAAAAAAAACACCGTCATCTCCGGCGCCGTCGGTTGAGAGAAGCCTTTGATGTTAAATCTGCCGGCGTGGCCCGGGGATTTACAAACCCAGCGCCGCCGAAGGCTAATGTGACCTCGTCTGCGTTGCCCACGGGTGCAACGGATAAACTTCCGCACCTTGAAAGACAGCAGCAGCTCAAAAAAAAAGACGAGCACACACGGTTCCCATCTTGCATGCGCTGCGCCTAAGGCCGGGGTGATCCCGGTCTCGCCGACACCAATCTGAAACTTGACAAACGAGGAGCAGTTACGGTCAGGCGACATCACCGCGCTGACGCTCCCGACAGCGTGTCGGGAGCGACGGTGCATGGCAGAGGTCGCAACCGGGTACCCGATACCCGTACCCTACCCGATACCTGGCTACCCATACCCGGCCGGGTACAGGTACGGATAGCCGTTTGCGACCCTGGTGCGGCCGGGTACGGGTACGGGTAGGCCGTGAGTCACTGGTGAGTAACCGTTTGTCACTCATTTCGGGTAGGGTACGGGTAGGGAACGGGTACCCGTACCCGGCTGGGTACAGGTATGGGTACCCATTTGCGACCCTGGTGCATGGACCATCACTGCCGGGCCCACGACGACCGTAACGGAGCTTAAAAACTCGTGTTGGAACCCCTGAGGAACACAACACAGGAGCGTAGTTACAAGGCAACAGCTGCTTGTTTTCTGCGTTAATTTCCGCGTCGTTTCAATGGGTTCATCGCTGCCAGCCGATCTGGAGGTCGTGTGCGGTGGGGCAAAGTGTGACAGCGCCCACCGCTTCCACGACGGTATTTTGCCGCCGTCGAAGAGTAGGCCAAAAACACCCTCTTGGATCCGCAGGTTAGCAAATGCCGGGCTGAGACCATCGACTCACGGCGCTGGAACACTCCAGAAGCCAATTTGTTCACAGGCGTCTGAACCGTGGGATTCGAACCCAGCAACTTCAGTAGCGTCGGCTCGGCTCCTTGACCCTCTGAGCCGCCCGGGTGAGGCCACGTCCAAGAATGGACGTTTTAATCGACGGATCGATTCATCGTAACGGCTTGGTACCCAGCGCGTCGTTCGCCAGGTCACATGACACCACAACCGAGCACGTGGCCTTTCTCGTGGCCGTTGAAACCTCCCGCGCAGGTGACTCTGGAAAACTGCGTGGACATCGGGCGCATCGCCACGGCGTACCACCTGCCCGAGGTGGACAAGTACGTCAACGCCTTCCTGCTACGCAGCTTCACGTCTCTGCTGGCCACCGGCGAGTTCCTGCGCCTGCCGTTCGAGCGCCTCGCCTGGGCCCTGGGCAGCGACTCCCTGCGCGGCTGCTCCGAGCTGCAGCTCTTCCAGGTGAGCGGCGAACGACGCGTCGGCGTTGGATCCCACCGGTTTTGGCGTGCGGGGAGAGGGGGTGAGCTGGGTGGGGTGGAGAGGCAGGGGGCCATCCAGAGGTCCCAGGACAGGATGCCAACAGAAGATTAACGTTGGGTACAACGATATTTGCGAATGTGATTTGTAACTATGATCCTTGCCCGTGTATGCATGTTGAACTTCTTTCGCGCCATAGGTGGTGTGGGGGAAGGAAAACGAACTAAAGACGCAAAAAGCGGTTCTAAAGACATGAGGAAAGTGGTGGTCTCTCCCTTGCGGACCAGAGGTTGCCGAAGGTTCGGGGTCTCAAAGGGAGCTCTGTGATATCCACTTCTGTGGACCGTTCTGTAACACGCGGCAATTCCCTGCGCTGCGGGAGATAGATCTCAATGGATTCTCCGTCTAATGACATCCACATGAACAGCACAATTTGGTTCAAACTGGGAGAAATTACTAAAATATTCTCAAAAAAATATTTAATTTATTGGGGCACATTCCGAGAAAGCCACACCTCTGTCATCGGGAACATGAGTGCTATTCTCCCTCTCATCATTCATATTTTGAGCCGTTGGTTACCGTAGCTGCTTAATCATCACCGCTTTGATGCATTACCCATTGGAGAGTTTTAGTATTCCTTTCGATCGCGCTGCAGCTCGGGACAGGCCGATGATAGGTAGAGTGCCACGGCTTCGGAGCCGCTCGACACGGAAATCATCAGCGCGCCGCTGGCTTTGCGGTGTGATCACCGTTAATGTTTCCCGCGGCAGTGTCACTTTCACCAACCGCTGAGAAGTAAATGAGATCTCTCCCATTTGTGTGAAAGTGAGACGGGGGGGGGGGGCTTAACTTAGCTGCTCCCCTCCCTGTTTAGGCTCTCGGTTGCTGGGGGCCTTGAGGGCAAGTCACCAATGGACGAAAATAGATTCATGAGCTCACTCTTCGTGATTTGTGGAAACTTGCTCCCCCTGACATGATTAATTCTTCAGATTCTGAAGGCCACGGTTCAGCGATCAATATTTTTGTTCTTGTTTTAGCATCTCGATTGTATTGCTTCTCGTTTTTCTTTTTTTAAAATCCGGCGTCCCGCAGAGCAGTGAATCGTCGGACCACAGAAGTGGATATCACAGAGCTACCGTTGAGACCCCTGTCTTTCAGCAACCTCTGGTTCACACAGGAGAGGGGCAGCACTTCCCTCATGCCTTTAGAACCGCTTTTTTGTGTTCAATTTGTTTTCATTCCTCCGCCCCTACGATTAGCACGGTTGGATACGTACGGTGCGAAAGAAGTTCAAACGTACGTACATACACACATACATTCCCACCCGCCTTGCTACAGAGAGAAATGTTCACCACGTGGCAGTCAAAACGATATATATCCTTCATTCTCTGAGATGGAATTTAGCCAATTTGTGTTGTTTTTGCGTGTGCTTCCGTTTGTAACGGGGCTGGCACCATCGACTCGCTACACTCGGAGAACCCGTTTTTTTATTTTTTTATTACAACAAAACGCGAGCCCGACATACCGAAACGTTTCCGGTAACAGGGGTACAACAACAACAGAGAGAAAAGAAGGTGAATAGGTGGGCCCTCACACCCCCCCCCACCCCGCTGCCCCCAAGCAAGTGGGGACCTCGCGCAAGGTGAGAAGACGGAGTTTGAAATGAGGATAGAAAACAGGGAGGCACAGGAGAAGAATGACAATCGGCGTGCTAATGAAAAGCCAGGGATGGGGGTGAAACCGCGATTCGAACCCCGCACCTCGGCGTCGCCCTGCTCGTCGCGCCGACTCACTCGTCGCCCCGCGTTTAAAGCCCGCGCCGGCGTGGTCGGCTGCGCTCGCAGGCCGCCTGCCGCTGGCTCCGGCACCCGGTGGACGCTCAGGGGGATTCGCTGTCGCCGGCGCGCGACGCCGCCGCAACCGCCGCCATGCCCGGCGCTGCCGAGAGGGCGTCCGGCTCGCGGCTCGAGTTCGCCTCCCGTCTCATGAGCCGCATCCGCTTCCCGCTCATGTCGCCGCAGGTACGCGCACGTGTGTGGGTAGCGACGTCGCGACGGTTTTCCACGCGATCGTCAAATTTCGACGCGATGTCGATCGCCGTCCGTGGCCACTGTCGTCGAGTCGCCTGTCACTTATAAAAAAAGGTGTCAGTTTTGTTGCCGGATAGAAGGGTAAAAAAAGCAATTATCACATTTTTTACTGGCAAATGAGGTTCCAATGGTGTCACTTACTCGTGCGACCTTCGAAACCTGCGCAGCCATCGTCGCGAGGGTGGCAAGGTTGCACTCGTGCCTCGCAGCGAGGAGGGACTGGGCGGCGATTCCCGACTCGGGCACCTGTCTGCGTGCTGTGTGTATGTCCTCCCCCTGTTCTGCATGGGTTTCCCCACGTGTTCTCTGGTTTCCTCTCATGGATACAAAAAAAATTCCCATGCTATGTAAATGGTATGAAAATTAAGAAGAGGTTTTACCCTTTATGGAAACGAAGCACGTTCGAACAACACAATAACCACACCGTACTTGTGGCAAAACATTCAAGCATGCTCTCATAATAATGTAAGGATTGCATTTGAAACTGATTTGTCTCACTAGTGTCAGACCAGTACAAAGACAATGCAAGTGTAGGGGTGTTAGAGAGAGAGCCGTTATGCATGACAGCTTATGGGAAACAAACACAGTGGGCGGGGCTACGTGAGTGCCGGGGGGGTGCTCTCAACGACGTCCGCACCGGGCAGCCTGGGGCCCCACCCCTCAGCGGGGGTTGAGTATAAAAGGGGATGTGTCAGAGGGCTCGGGGGGAAATGTTAAGCTAACGAGAAGACTGAAGACATCTTAGCTAGAGCCCTGGACTCCCCTAGTTCGACCTCCTTATCAGGGCCGAACAGGATCGAGCCAGCGGCGTGGTTCCGAGAGCCAGAGCCGGTGCTCTTGTCAGAGCAGGTCTGGGACTCCGGGTACCGGGCCCGACTTACCAGTGTCGGGCCAGATAGCCTCCCCTAGCCCGTTAATGGAGGACTAAGAGGCAGGCTAGGGTAGCTAGCGTGTGTATTCCCAGCTAGCCGGGTGAGGGGGCCGATACCCCCTCGAGTGTTATATGCCCACTGTTGTGCTGTGAAATAAACCCGTGTGCCTCCAACTCCGGCGTCAAGAGTCGTCAACGGTATTACACAAGCATCAGAGCATTTACAGATCGCGGTGAGCAGCGATATCTATGGGACCTCTTTGTTAGTATCAAAGTATGAAAATGAAGAATAGGTTTCTACCCCTTCTGGCAACAGAACAGCTGTTAAGATGTTCAAACAGCGAGGGAAGTCTGCATTAACCACACGTACAAAAGATACAAACATGCTCTGATAAATAATTGTATGCGTTTTCTTTGAAACTGATTGGCCCACAATCTCGCCAGTGTCAGACCAGAGAACGCTAGAAGGCGAACGGCACAACGGCATTGCCGCGTATCAGCAAACACATTCCTGCGGAGGGAGCTGGTAGGAACGTTGGGTTGCTCGGTCAATGGCCAGGGTCAACGGCGGCGTGGTGTATTCCGCAAATATGGCTGACTGTGAGGGCGGGCACAAGCCGGCGTGAGTAGGTTAAACGTTGAGTTTTATAAGGGCACCACGGGGTGACCAGCCCCTCCCCACCCAGCCCCACCCAGCCCCTCCCCACCCTCCCCACCCAGCCCCTCCCCACCCTCCCCTCTCTACCCAGCCCCACCCCTCCCATTTTTGGATGCACGACGGATGGACGGACACAATAATCCCCTGTAGGCTGGTGGAACCAGGTGGTTCCTACCAGTAAAAGGTTCCAGTAATGTAAACGGTATTGGCCAAAACATCCCAGTGCTGCAAAAATCACCAGTAAATTACTCGATTGTGGTCCCACACAGCGGCAACAACATCTCACCCCCCCCCCCCTACTGCAGGAGCTTGGCAGGAGGAACCTCGTGAAAAAACAATGCCTCGACACTCAGCAAGGCTATCCTGGGTCAACAAACTCGCGCAGCAGTAATAATGACAAATAATCACGCGCCGTGCGATCGTCGCGTTGTTTATGACGATCCATCGCGCGTCCCAATCGAGGCGGCCGCAAGCCCGAACGACCGCCGACATCGGCTGTGACCGTCACGCGTCCCTGTGCGCCCCCCCCCCCACCATTACGGAGGAGGAGCGCATCGCATCAACCGCGCAAATAATCATCTCAACGATTATCGCCATCGAGCAGCGGTCGGCCAGGCGCGATTCATCTCGCCGCCGCAGATACGAGCCAATTTGGACATTACTCACGGTGTTTATCGATCCTTCCAAAGGGTAGCTCAATTAGGGGAGGCAGTAACCCAGGAGTCGCGCAGCCACAGGGAGTGGATTTCTCCCTCCCTCAAACACCGCTCCCCCATGGCCCACTGTGAAATGTTTTTGTTATTTTCTTCCCTCTTATTCTTCTTCTTGCTCTGAGGTTGATGGCTTTTTAATGTTAGAAATCCCGGCACCATTGATGCCATCGAGTTTATTTTAATGACTTTGCACTGCCCACGAATGTCGATATTGCGGCCATGCCTCCATCCCAGCTGAGAATTTTTTCAGCGGCCGCAAATCTTTTGAAGACGCGTTCGCAACAAACAAAAAAAACACGCGGCGTTGATTTTTGCCTGCTCGTAGCTGGTGAACCCGTCGCCACGGGTGCGATGGCTCGTACGCTGCTGGACTTGCGTTCCACAGGTTCACCGGTTTGATTCCATCTACCGTCAAGTTTTTTATTTTATTTAACACCCCCCCCACCCTCCCAGCCAACCGCCTCTGTTCGCTAGAGGGAACTCTCTGGAGCCCCCCCCCCCCCCTCCTTCTCGTGGAGGCCCTTCCACCGGCAGGATCCAGTGGGATAGGGCCCGGAAAAAAAAATATCCCGCGACAAATTTAAAACCCCGACCACCGCTGGTCCCGCTGTCCTCCGCGCAGGAGCTGCTGGCGCACGTGCAGACCGTGGACTTCATGCGCTCCGACGCGGCCTGCCTCAACCTGCTGCTGGAGGCCAGCAACTACCAGATGCTGCCCGCCATGCAGCCGGTGCTGCAGTCGGAGCGCACGCGCGTCCGCTCCGACGCGACCCACCTGCTGGCGCTGGGCGGGGTGCTGCGGCAGCAGCTGCTGGTGTCGCGCGACATGCGCATCTACGACGAGCGGGCGCGGCGCTGGCGCTGCCTCACGCCCATGGACGCGCCGCGGTACCAGCACGGCATCGCGGTCGTGGGCAACTTCCTGTTCGTCGTCGGCGGACAGAGCAACTACGACACCAAGGTGAGGTCGGCGCGAGCGCGTTGGTGACGCACGCGGTGGCGGAACTGGCGCGGGGGCAGGGGGTGCCTTGGGCCCCCCCCCCCCCCCCCCCCCCCCCCCCCGCTGGTGGCCAAAGCTACGAGTTGAGGGTCCCCCTTGACAACTACCGTGATATTTGTTGTCAGCAACAGAGTAAGCAGAACTCAACAAACGCGCTGACGTGGTTAGACAAGAGGAGGCGAGATATATAGCCTCTAGGTGCGACCGTGAGAGACGAATCGAATGTTGGGGCCCCACCTGACCGATTGCCGTACCCGCTAAGCTGATATGTCGTCATGCCACCGGCAAGATGTTAACTCCCTCGCCTGGTGTGCAGGTCATGGGTAAGGTCCAGATCCTGACACCTGCTGAATATTTTGACTTTGCAGATTCTCTCTCCTCGTGGTCCGGTTTTTTCCTCCACATTTAGAATCAACGCGCATTCAGAGCCTTTGGCTGCTTTCAATATCGACGTGATTGAGCCACTTGGTTCAACTGTCCTTATTTGTGGCCAGGTCGTTTTTTTCTGAAAATGAGCTGCATAGCTCCGTGAGTCCTTACCTGGTGAAATAAAAAAAAAATAGCTTAGTTGTGGGTGCTGTAGCCAGATCTGTAAATCACGAGGGGAAATGGATGGATCCCGTAACGTGCTCCTGTAACGTGCTCCCAATAGTTCGGTCGGTTGCCCTCGCAAGTATTTCGTAGCGTCGTGACGTGCTGTGCGACGCACAGGCGCCGGTGAGAATATTGTTTGGGGGGGAGGAGGGAGAGGAGGGGGTTGGGAGCATAAAGTAAAATTCACGGGGCTGTAAGACATTTTTACATTTACGAAGTGCATTTTAAAATAAATTAAATCAACGTTTTAAAAGCACGTCATACGTAACGTTCACAAACGAGCGGGAACGGTTCGTCGCCACTAACAGACCGACGCGGGCCGAGGGCACGGGTTCACTGAGCGCGTTAATCGTGGGGTACGAGCGGGGGGGGGACGAGTGCAGTGGTGGGAGGGGGATGACGTTTGGAGTGCGAATCGGCACGAAACACCAGCAAGCAACCCCCCCCCCCTCCTTCTCGCTCTCCCGCCTTGTCCGCCGTGGGCCGCTGGGGCAGGGCAAGACGGCGGTGGACACGGTGTTCCGCTACGACCCGCGCTACGACCGCTGGGCCCACATGACGCCCCTCAACGAGAAGAGGACCTTCTTCCATCTCAGCGCGCTCAACGGGCGGCTCTACGCCGTGGGGGGCCGGAACGCCTCGGGGGAGCTCGGTGAGGGCGCACGCAATTCACGCAATTCACGCAATTCACGCAATTCACGCAATTCACGTGCCACGGGCAAGGGTCCCACCCCCCCTCACCCCCCTCTCACCCCGCCGTCGTTTTTGAAGACGGTGTTACACTGCCGCAGAGAACCGTAGCGGCTACGGACGCACTCGGTGATGGCTGGTGCCAAACTGTGCCACACGCACGCCCTCCCACATGGCGCCTGTGGGGGCCTCGGTACCGATAAAGTTCTTTTATTTGAGCTTTTTTCCTGTTTTGGTTTTGATGATGTACATGGGAACAGATTCGGAACAAAAGCCGACGACGTACACACACGTCGTCGGAATGGGAAAGGGTTAATAGGCTATTGGGGCAAGTGCTGTCAGCGAGTAGCAACTATGTATGTATGTTCAACTTCTTTCGCACCGTCCGATACCAACTGTGCCGATTGTAGTGGCGGCCTTTGTCTCCCGAGTGACAATGATAACACTGGTCAAAAAAAAAAAAATTCTGGCATGGACTTTTGCAGCTGTTTTAGACTCATTTCAGGGTGCAGATTCCAAATCTGATCTCAGATTTGCTCTATGACATCTAATTTTTATGCTATCGGCATACCCCATTTTCGTTGATTTTACCCGAAATTAACTCTGTCACTTATGATTGCAAGTTGTTGCGAGTCAGTGACTGCTTTAGTGTTAAAATATGGTGCTGTATTTTTAGGATAGTGTGTTTATAATATCATTTTATGTAGATATCCACATTTATTTCATATTTTTCTTCTGCAGTTTTTATTGAAAATGCAATATTTGATATCTCAAAACCTGATGTAATAGACACAAACTGATGCCAGATTTGGAATCAGCACCCCGAAAATTACCTTAAAACCGTTGGAATACCTTATCCCAGAAAAAGTGTGTTGATCAGTGTAATCGTCACTGTTGTTGGCCGTGAGCGGGAATTGAACGCGGCTCGCCGACTTCGTAGCGCAGCTCACCAACCACCATACTAGCACTCCTCGCACACACACAAAGGCAAAGTTATCCCATAAAGCCTTGACAGACTGTTGGGGCAAGTGCTGTTAGCCCGCATCTATAAAGGCTCGCACGGCACACGAGGGGGTGGGTGGCCAACACCACGTGCGGCCACATGTCACCCTAGTGGAGGTATTTACGCACCACACCAGGTACTCATTTGAGGCCGAGTCAACTTAGGGGAGGCCCAGGGACCGGTTCAGATAATTGTAACTGATGGTAACCGTGAGCGGGAATCGAACTTGTGTCGCCGGGTTAATAGGGGCAGCACATTAACCACTACACACCAAGACTCACACGTGCAGTCCCGGTAGGCAATGGCATTGTTTATAATGAAAACCAAGTTTATTGAATAGAAACATAAACACAGCATAGTGCCACATCTAGAACTGCTCTTTGAGTTTAGCTCGTTGTCTTTCCCAAGCACATCCGATTAGCACGGTTGGCTACGTACGGTGGTGCGAAAGAACTTCAACTTGCATATCTACATCTTGATGAGCGTCGGGTATGCATGCTGTCCTTGCCCTCTTTAGGTCCTGGTAGATTCCCCCACATGAGCCTCAGGGCAGTCTTCACTGTATTAGAAAAAAAAAAACTATATGAATCCCATCCAGCCAGGACATTCGCTAAATGCACATATTCCTTTATCACCGCCCATTTCAATTTCCTTGCCTTTTTGCACCCCGCTTTATATTCATGCTTTTGCCATCGGCATCGCAGTGCGATATGAAATCTGTTCCCCACCCACCCACAAAAAACACCCACTAAGTATGGAATTCTGAACGCCTCCCAACATGCATTTCAATCAGTGCGGCGGCTATCTGTGGGGCATTACGCATTTTCACGTTTGCCAAATGTCCGTTTTTTCCCCTCTGCTTCGTGTCTCCGCGTTGTGGGCAACCATTCGATTAATTTGGCCCAAATAGCAACGCAACTTTACACGGCAGATCCGTTCAGAGGGCACGAGTGGGTCCACACTCATTAGGCTCCGAAGCGAGCAGCCTGGTTTTACAACTTCGATTTTAGAGCTGCTGCTCAGCTCATGTCCGTACGAGAGCAGGCGATGAATCTCGCGTCCGAGCTTAGTCAGAGAGCGTTGAAAACACGGCGACTCACGGTGGCGTAATTCATTTTTCGTTGGGTCGCGTGTTTAAAATGCGTCGTAAAACCCTCCTCCACCCAACACAGACAATTAATAAAGTTGTCGCGTGGTGAACAAACGTGCCACTTTATTGCAATTTCAGCCAATCTCTTCCGTGTGTCTCCCACCTGAGATGTAAGATGTGAGTGAGATGTGTCCTACACCTCCCACGCCTCACGACGCTGGTTGCACCCGTCGCGGGCTGCTCCCCGACGCGGTGTGCCGAAGCGGTTCACACACTGGCACGTTTGTCCGCGTGAAGAGCGCATTCAGACTCTGTCTTCTCGACAGACCTGTTCTCCACCTGAGGACGGCTGCTTGCGTTGTGGCCGAAACGTCGTGAGAATTATTTTATTTAGTTTTATTTTTATTATTTTATTATTTCCATTCTACGTGACTTTACCGAAAGAACCAAGAAGATGAATCCCTGCAGTCACGAAAGCTTTAAATCGAAAAAGAGCGCATTGCGTCGGGCGGGGGCGGGGGGGAGGGCGTACGACGCGCGATTGACTCGAGCGATCCGGCTGAACTAAACTAAAAAAGAAAATCACATGGCAACTTTGGTCGCGAAATCCCCTGGCGCCTTGCTCGACTGACGGCAGATGGTGATTGTGTTTCAGCGACGGTGGAGTGCTACAGCCCGGCCTCCAACGAGTGGACGTTCGTGGCGAGGATGAGCGAGCCTCACTACGGCCACGCCGGCACCGTCTACAGTGGCCTCATGTACATCTCGGGTAAGGGCACGCGCAGGCGCTCGTGACGATTGATCGTTATTATGATTTATTGATTAGAATTGCGCTTGTTTACCGTGGGAAAAGGCTCACTTGGTCTCGAGAATCTCTTTGAGGAAGGGTCCTGCCAAGTTTTCGTCGGAGGGAGCCAAGTTGCTCTGTGTTTGTGTGTGCATGTGTGCGTATGTGCACACCTCAAGGTGCACATGGCCTGGCACAAGCGTCGTGGTGATGTCACCGCCACTTAGTGGCGAATGGCGGTTGTTGTTGTTGTATGTGCACAGTGTGGGTAGCGGTGGTGTCACGGTTAGCGCGCTACGCTACGAACCTGGGGACCCCAGTTCGATTCCCGTTCATGGCCAACACCAGTACCTGGTGCGGTGCGTAAACATCGCCACTATGGAGACGAAGATGGCCGGGCGTGGTGCTGGCCACCCACCCACTCGTGTGCCATTCCAGCCTTCATAGGTGCTTACTAACACAACTTTCCCCAACAGTCTGTGAAGGCTATACGGGGATCTTTGTCTTTGTTTTTGAGTGTTGCTACAATAGGATTAATGGCAATGAAACCATGTGGAAAAGTAATAAGTGGAGTTCTGTGCTCATGCGCGGCGGGCAATGGAAGCTTTGAGTGATTATCTTCACTTAGGGATTGCACATTAGAAGGTCACTTAAGGCTATAATGGACGAGGGTCGTTTTAGGACAATTTGTTGGCGAAAACATTTGCCGCTCCACTTTTTTTTATTTGTAAAACCCCTGCCCCCCTACCCCTTCCAAATCTCGACACGTCCGTCGTGTCTCCATCGTGGATGACCGCGACGGCAACTTCCGATCGGACCACGGGCAAGGGGCAGAGGTCGCGTGAAAACCCAAGGTGGCGTCACCTCGTAAACCGATCGCCGTTGTTTCATTTTCAAACAAACTCCTTTTTTTAAATCCTTTATATTAAGTTCACTTGCGCGCTTGCTTGCTTGCTTACGACCGTGCAAATATTTCGGTCGTTTTTTAACCCACTTCCCGTGATCCAATCGAGCTGACATTTTCCACACAGACTCGTTGTGCGTGACAATTAATGTCCCAAAATTTACACTTTTTAGGACAAAAATATTATATTTAATTACCAATTGCTTAATGGTGCCATGCAATCATATGACCCATAGGTGGTAGCCACCTCAAGCCAGAGGATGAGAGGACTCTAGCCGCCACGCATATAAAGGATTTATAGTGAAAAACTTAGTTTTTACGGGTTATACTTGTTTATGAGTCGAGACGGAATCCCGTCGGGGGGCCCTCTGTGCCGTTGCTCTTCCAAGTTGGCACGGTCGCCTTAAGCGCGCCTGCAATCCAGCACGACATCAGAAGGAGCTAAGGGGTTGGTGGACCACCGCTCAAATGCTGTGACAAAAATCTCTTCCCGTGCGCGTCGAAGAGGCGCCGTGCTGTGGTAACAGCAAACATTAGGCATAATTTTCGATTTAAAGCTTTCGTGACTTGCAGGGATTCATCTTCTTGGTTCTTTCGGTAAAGTCACGTAGAATTGAAATAATAAAATAATAAAAATAAAACATAATAAAATAATCGAAAGAACCAAGAAGATTAAGCAAAATCTTTGTTTTTTTTCGGTAAAGTCACGTAGGTAAAAAATTCTAGAAAATTAAATTTTAAAAGGGGGGGGGGGGGGGGGACCCATTACCACTAACCATCGCCTACACACGGAGCCCTCCCCGAACCCCCTGCAGCATAACAAAAGGAGGCTTAACTTAACCCTCCCCCACGGCCCATCCTGCCCCCCCCCCCTTAATCTGTATATAGTCTCGTGTCTCTTAGAGTTCTCGCCACTTCTTTTTGGTTCTTTCGGTAAAGTCACGTAGAAGGGAAATAATAAAATTATAAAAATTCAACATAATAAAATACAATTGTGAGAATTATTTCATTGTTTTATTGTTACTAAAATACAATTGTGAGAATTGTATTTTATTGTTTTATTTTTATTATTTTATTATTTCCCTTCTACGTGACTTCACCGAAAGAACCAAGAAGATGAATCCCTGCAGTCACGAAAGCTTTAAATCGAAATTCTCTCCACTTGATACAGTAATTTTGCTGTGACGGTGCCACCTAAAGACGGAAGCTTGTGTTGCCTCCGAAACGTCGTGATTTAATTTATTTGTATTTTATTTTTTACCTACGTGACTTTACCGAAAAACCAGAGTATGGTCCATTGCAGTCACGAAAACTTCAAATCTAAACGTTAAGCAGCCTCACCTCGACCCGTTCCATCGGCACGGGATTGAGCGTTGCACCGTCCGTGTGCTGACGTTTCCTCCCACACGCAACAAACGCTCATTGATTTAGGCTGAACACTTCTTAGTATGTGCACCTTGCGTGTTCACCGATTGTGCAAGCATTGCGATGCAGTTGTCGGATATACGCTATGTAAAAAACTGAATGTTATCTTATTTTAATTCTTAAAGCGCCTTAAGGGCGCTGAACGAAGAATTCGCTATTACACAGCATAAGTGTGACGAAATGAGTTGATGACTAGGATGGTAGCACAGGAATATGACGAGTGAAATAAACGTTGATGAAAGTGACAATGAGTGGTTGATGATGATGACGAGTGCGATGAATGGGTAGGGAGGGGGAAGAGGAGCTGGTTGGGCTAAGCGAGGGAAAGTGAGCGAGTGTTTTAAAAGGGGACGAACGAAACATGGAGAACGCGGCTGATCGCTTGACGTACAGGGGCACCTCGTTGCAGTGTAACGGAAGCGAGAAAGGAGGGAATGGTCATTGGGTACGAGGAGGAAATAGAAACAACAGCTGGGATTGTGAACGCAGAGGTCGTGAAGAAGTGTAGAACGAGACGACGGATGCGAGATGATACGTTGGGGCCCAGACCACGGAGAGATTTGTAAGCTACGGATTATTTTAGGATTGCTATATTGCGTCGTTGTTACTTTGAGTAAACGTGTTGCGTGCCACGGTTGTTGTCGACGATTCCCGTGAAAGTAATTCCTCTCGTGTCGTGGCCTCGACTCGGCATGATGCCTCTGAGAAATGCCACGTATTCTCTGTGGATAATTCAACAACCGTACAAGAATCTTCTTAAATAACCAACGCTGCTGCTGCAGCTCACTGCTGCTGCTGCTGCTACCTCTGGAATGGTTTGCGTGCATTTTCACAGAATAGTAATGCATATATGCATTCATTACTGCATTCACGTGCGCTTAACCAATTTACGTGTCCTCTTATGAATGAATGTTTGCATACGTTATAAATTATGCATGCGCGTACATATGTATCAAGTCATGTATTATGTAGGAACGGGGCCCATCAGCCCATCTATTTGGCTGGCCATCAATCCGCCTGCCTTATTCATGAAGTTTATTTTGTGCGATTCCATTTTCCAGTCACATCATCGTCGCTAAGAACATGGCTCCTCTTCTGGTCCCTTCTCTCCTCTTCAACAACGGCTGCCATTCGCTAGTCGGTCGCGGTAACATCGCCACGGCGATTGGGCCAGGCTAGGTGGTAGATGTTGAGGCCACGTGAAGTGTCGAAATTGCGTTGGCAGGTCACGGAATGGGCCAAGGTGTCATCGGTCAATGGCCGAGATGGCCGGCAGATGCACCAACTGTGCTCCCTACTGTCTTCTCCACTGCACACACGTGCACAAGTCTAATATTGACTTAAAGCGTTCGTGACTGCAGGGATACATGTTCTATGGGTCTTCGGTAAAGCCACAGATAGAAAAATAGTAAAAAATATCTCGACGTTTCGATCGCAACACAAGCAATCGTCTCACCTGAAGACGATTGCTTGTGTTGCGATCGAAACGTCGAGATATTTTTCTAATTTTTCTATCTACGTGGCTTTACCAAAATACCCATAGAATAAGACAAATATTCCTTGTGTCACCGACAAGTGCTGTTAGCGTGCCCATGACGGCCGGCACGCGCACACGATGGGGCGGTGTGTCCAGCACCACACCCGGACGCATGTCTCCCCAGTGCTGATGCTGACACACACCGCACCGGCGACTCGTTTGAGACCGGCTTGACCTCGCGATGGCTCAGCACCGGCTCAGACACCCCTCCGTGAGCGAGAGCAGAACGGCTTCGCAATGCTGTCCGCTAACCATGAAACTGCCGCTTGTCCCGTCCTCCCCACCCACCGCACGCACGCAGGCGGCATCACCCACGACACCTTTCAGAAGGGACTCATGAGCTACGAGCCCGAGACGGACCGCTGGGCCCAGCGTGCCCCAATGTCCACGGTGCGCGGCCTGCACTGCATGTGCACCGTGCGCGAGCGCCTCTACGCCATCGGCGGCAACCACTTCCGCGGCGCCAGCGACTACGACGACGTCCTCTCCTGCGAGTTCTACTCGCCCGCCAGCGACCAGTGGACGAGCGTGGCGCCGATGCCGCGCGGGCAGAGCGACGTCGGCGTGGCCGTCTTCGGCGAGCGGGTGTACGTCGTGGGCGGCTACTCGTGGAACAGCCGCTGCATGGTGGAGATCGTGCAGCGCTACGACCCCGAGCGCGACTCGTGGGAGCGCGCCTTCGACCTGCCCGAGTCGCTCGGCGGGATCCGCGCGTGCGCCATCACCGTGCTGCCGCCCCCCGACGGGCAGGGCGGCGAGGACGCGGCCGGGGGGGCTCAGACGCCGCAGCAGCAGCAGCCGCAGCAGCCGCAGCAGCAGCTGCTGCACGAGAGAGGCGCGGAGGGTTTGGAGGCGTCGCCGCAGCACGACGGCATCGCTCACGGTACCCCGTGAGACTTGCCGGGCGAACGACTGCCCCCATCCCACCCCACGACTCCCACCCACCCCCCGGTTTGGACGAACGAAGCACAGCGCCGAGAACTCATGAGAATCGGACGCCCGAGGCCTGGGAGGGGGTGGGCGTGGGGTTCGCCGAGCTTCATTGCAAACGCGCAGCGATTTCACCGACCGGACGGCTCCCCTCCACCCAGCCGGTCACCCCGCTACCCACGGACCGTCGCGTTACTCGCCTCCCGCAGGCGGCCACCCCTCAAACGTGGCCGGGGGGGGGGGGGCGAGCGTCCTACGTGGAGAAAATGCCAACACCGCTCCCCCCATGCGGCGACACTGGGGGGGGGGGGCGCTATATTTGTGCGTACGCTGCTGCCCACGACGGCGATGAACTGAAATGGGACAATACACAGGGGGATGACGTTTCAATATTGTTTTTCCCGCCCCCCTCCTCCTCCCCCCGAGGCCGCCTCTCTTGTGTGGCCGCTTTCTCTTTGCAGCCTCATAGTGGAGGGGCCATTGTGTGTCGCCTGTTTATTATTTACACGTGACAGTGACACGGCCCAAGTTTGAATTCCTGCCGAGGGTGTTAAATCTCGGTGTTGTTCATCGCCGACACCGCTCACGACGACCGTCCAAGTTATAACAAAAACGCGCGCGCGCACGCACACAAACCCAGTTCGAGTTATGAAAACACACGCACGCACACAAACCCAGTTTGTGGACTGAGAAGTGTGAGTTGTCCAGCACGGCTTTACTTTTCGCATTTCATATATCACGCGCACCCTTCGAGAGATCCAATATGTGCGGCCGTCAAATGGAAATTAATTGAAAAATGAATGTGGAAATGGAAATTGATTGTCGACAACACTGATGTTCCCAAATGTGCTAATGTAGCTCAACTGCGACACCACGGGAAGAGGTGGAGAGAGAAAGAAAAAAAAACCCGACACACACGAACGCATCGGGCACGCCCGTAGTGCCACTGCCCGACGTCAACGCGACAGGCCGATTACGCGAGGCTGCCACCACGGTGGCAGAAAATGTTACCCTACGGTGCACGTCACCTCGACTGGAGACGCGTTTGATCGCGGAACACGCCGACGGGCGCGATTCAACCGAATGCATCGTGGCTTGCGTGGGCCGCGACAGCCTCAAGATCCGAAACGCGCGAGCCATTTGTATAAATGTAAAATATTAAAAACCGCATTTCGAACATTCGAGCAACGCTTATGCGCTAGCTTACGTGGAGATGAAATACCGTCAACGGAAATTATACCCCATAATAGGTTTTTTTTTTTGGTAGAAAAAAAAATACCTATTATGGATAATATTGGTCGCCAAATTATACTGCGCGCCCGCAACATCAGCGACACAAAACAATAAGAGAGCGCTTCAGAATACTCTAGCTGTAATTACGCTGCACAAGCCTCGTGTTTTACATGGTTAAAACCCCATCGCCTCTTCCCACTGATCATGTCATTACCCAGGCCGAGTGCGGCGCTGGAGAGAAGTCCGCATCACTTAGCCAATCGACCTTCTACGAGGGCTTCGCAAGTTCCCACGCAGGCCCAGCGACCACATCTTACGCGTTTTTCCCATCCGAAACAAAAAACCACTGAATCCCCGTGCTTTTCCTTCTCGGTGTGTGAATTAACACCGCTCGCGTTTGCACATTTTGTTTCCGTGACCAAATCACCCACAAAGCACCCGATCTCGTTGGAACACGGGACGCTAAGACAGGGTTATGCCTGGATAGTGCTCGGTTGGGTGACCACCGTGCACATAACAGGTGACTTGGTTGCTGCGGGTTAGCCAACGTTGTGGGCATCAGAGGGTGGTACATAAAAAAAACCCGCTGTTGTAACGTTATTGTGCTCCCGTGTCTAAGCTTCGCACTTTCACAAACCCACAGCTGACAATTGCGTCGAGGTTAAATCACCCACAGGACCCACGCGGTGCGAGGAAGGCCTCAGCCAAGCGGTGGACGGACAGAAAGGGCCTCCCTCCCCGACATGCACACATTGCACATTTGCCCCGCGGTGAGATGAGGACGGTGGCTCTGCCGCCTTGTTGTATGCCGACATCCCCATGGGTGGTGTTTTTGGCGTTTACGCGTGACAAACGGGAAAGGAATGGGGGGGGGGGAGGGGGGGCGGCCCATCCACGGCACGACGTGAGGACAACCCACGCGGCAGTGGCGCGCGCGCCTCGAGACGAGCCGTGCGCGGCAGCTCACGTCGTCAAAATCGTCGCGGGGGACCCCGGGGTGCGAAGACGCCGACTCGCACGCTGGCTGCCGCTCGACGTCAGGGCAGGGGACGCTGGGACACGGGGATGCGGGCAGCAGCCGCGGGGCCCGAATCATTCGTGGGCTTTGGGACAGGCGCGGCGAAGTGTCGGATAATATCTCCCCCCCCTTGCATCCGCCGGTTTGCTCCCTCGGGAGCCGCGGCAAATGCGAGCGTGGGCAAAGCGGCATCCCACCACCACCAACATGCGAGTGTTTGTGATGCGAAGACAGGCGTCCGATGTACACGGAGCACACGAGCGCACACACGTGCACGCACGCACGCTGCACTCCTCGCTCGTCGCCGTGTGCTCGTTTTCAGTTGATTTCTTCGCGTGGGACTATTTGTATGATTTTACATTGCAAATGTACGATTTTGTTGTTCTCTCTCTCTGTATAAAGTTGATGAAAAAAAAAATCCTCAAGCCGTCGCGTGAATCAACATCCCCGTGATTTAGCAGCGTCGCCGTGCGCCTACGTTTCATGCGGTGAGAAATAAATCACCGTCTCTTTATGAAAAATAATTGCAAGCAGCATCTGTTTGGCCAAATCATAGCTGACAATAGTTTAATTATTGCGAAAATGGTGTAAATGTGCCATTAAATATAGAACCATAATTAGTCAACATCTTGCAGTTCTATTACTTTCAGCGGAGAGAGTAAAATAATAAAATGCAGGGCACGCACCGGGCTTACGAATGAAAAATGTATGCCAGCCATGAACACAACGAATACTAACAAGTTTAATAATGACACGAGGAAAAATTGTCATTTACATAGCGATCAAATATCAAGGACAAAACCACGACAACGGGAGCAACTCGGCGCGCTTGCAGGGAACGTAAACAAGTCACACGCACGCGCACACGCCAATGAGATTGAACACAGAACCGGGCTAAGGTCTGACTGGGGTCTTTGCGCCATCCGAGAATTTTTTAATTGGTCCTTTGCTGCTGTGGGGCATCAACCCCACCAATGTCCCTGGACTACGAACCCAAAAAGGGAAGCGCACGCGCTAGCAGCGCCACCCTAAAAGTAGTTCTCTATTCATCAATTGTCATTTCGTCACGCGTTATAAAAATAAACGGCTTGCAATAAATGATATTGCAGCAAATCCACATTGTTCGAGGGCTCATTATATGGAATGATAATTTGCAGCAGTTCTGCCGTTTTACTGGAAAAGCTAGTCTCTCTAGGGGCCCTACCCAATCAGAGGCGCACTGCAACTCTACACAGCAAGCCAGTTACACAATATAATCTCCCACACGCACTGCACACACGCACTGCACACACGCACACACACACACAGGTGCCCGTCTGTGAGTTTCAATTTTAGTATGCGCATTGCTCGTAGCAGCAGGTGCTTCGTCTTGCGAGTTAATGCGTGGACAAGCAATAACACACCGGGACGTCATTGCCTCGCGGCAAACCGCCAAACAGCCCCGTTCTGAAAAGGTCACACTCGTGCCTAAAGTACGGCATTCGCGCCCTTCCTCGGGGAGCCAAGATGAGGGGGGGGGGTGAGCAGTGGGGGGGGGGGGGGGGGGGGGGGGGGGGTGAGCAGTGCGTGGTTGGGTGCCGTGAGCTGAAAGCCGGTCCGGCTCGGGAGTTGGGGCTGGTGACGTGACCCCGGGGTTCGTGACCCCAGCAGCACGGTGACGCGACTCAGTACGGTGACGCGACCCCAGCAGCGAGTGGTTGGGTGCCGTGAGCTGAAAGCCGTTCTGGCTCGGGAGGTGGTGGCAGGGGTCGTAACCCCGGCGGTCGGTGCGTTCCCCGCCTTTTGCGGAGGTCCGCGGTTCAAATCCAGCGGCCGCCCTGGTCACTACCGCAATAGCGTGTGTGTGAACCGTAAAAATACACGCCGTCTGCTTCACTGTGGACGTTCAAAGATCCCGTGACGTCATTTGCAAGAAGTAGGCCATCGTGTGCCGTTGGCGTCTTGGTTCAAATTTGACAAATTGGAAATATCACACCGCAAATTACTCACAGTTAAAATTATACACATCAATAATAGCCTCCCGCCCCCCCACCCCCCTCGCCGGACTGTGAAAAAATTAGGACCCTCCTGAAAAAAAACGAGTCATGAGAATCGGTGAGGCTTTTCCGGGTAAATAATCATAACAATAAATAATAATAGAGTCGTCCTGCAGCAACAGCAGTGTTGCATGCGGAGAGGATGAATGGGCACACCCTCCCATCTCCGTGACCATCTGTCGGATGCCCTGCCGATGCATTTGTGGAAATGTCTTTTGACGGATGCCCTTTTAGTTTCAGATTGCTGGAGGCACCAGGATTAATATACGGCTGAATTTGACCGCCCACCCATGTGATTTAAGATAATCTATTTTCGTGTAACGTAGAGCCGCGCTAGTGCAAATTATTAAACAATACAAACATGACATTTAAAAAACGAGGTTTCATGTTGTGCTCTGCAGAGCTGCTCACATGGGCCGATGTGAAAACTTGTTGTGACAAAGCGTTACAGTGTCCTATGTCCTCAGTAAGAAGCAGAGAAAAAGAATAAATCCCTCTCTATAAAGACATTGCATGCAAATTTAAAACGGGGGCTGTAAAAAGCAGATGGCTTCATAAGTCTCTTCACGGTATTATGCTCAAGAAAGCCGCTGTAAATTCAGGCAGACTTAGCGTGCCATCCAACACACCAGCCAGGTGTCGGCCACACAGTCGTTCCCTTAACCCTTCCGTGTGAAAGTAAACATCAATTCCAGTCGATGGGAAATCCCATCAACTTGACAAATACGTGGCAGTCAATATACCAAGTATGAAAAATGCAATGCTCAGACGCTACAGAGGGAGGTTATGGTACAAAAAAACCCAGACAACACCCGCAACAGACCTACAGGTAAACTCTTCCCATAATCCCTTGTGAGCTACTGGTACTAATAATAATTATAATAATTATTCAAGATCAAGAGGTCTTCAGGACCAATGCCATGAATGCGATTGCACCACGTCACTGCTCCTTTTTGTAAGACCCTGGAGTTGGTGTAAAAATGACACCTCAAGCTTTACCGTCTCATTACCACCGCCGTCTTAAGATTGAGCTCTTCCTTGTGTTACACAGTTGACACACATCCTCGTGCAGTCTCATCACCTCCATCATGTGCATTTAGGTCTTCCCCATGGTCGCAAACCACTGGGGGCTTACTCGCAGTGTCTGTCGCGGCAAACTGCGCTCTCCAATCCTGCACCCGTGTCTCAGTCTTCAGGAGCTCCTCTTTACTGATTCAGCTAAGACACATGCTTGCCATACTTTTCACGTACTACCCACTTGCTTACCCCCTACCCTTCAATGAAACACACTAAGTTGCGACTATTTGTGGGACGTGATCAATCCACAGCTGAATGAAGGCCTTCCTATGCCGTCGCTAATTTTCACGATCCTGGGATGTGGCGCTTGCTTAGACGCATTCCATCCCTTGGCTACCACTGTCATTCTCCTTGACCTATCCGTGGGTATTGCCTCATACTCTGAATGCCACCTGAACAGCGGCGGTTGAATGGCAAGGGGTACTGACTGTGGCACTCACCAAAGGCAATTAAGGCTTGTTTTTAAGGGCGGCTGCACTGCCTCACGGAAGAATACAATCAGCGCTCACAAAGTCAAACACACATGGCCCCCCCCGCCCCCCATGAAGACGGCTCTTTCAGGAAGACTGTGCAATCGAGCTCTGATAATCTAATGTATAAACTAAACTATTCAAAAAGAATAATGTGGCACTCAAAATAAAATAATATATTAAAATATTATTTTATTTATTATATTATTTTATGATGTTTTTTTAAATTATTTTATTACTTCCCTTCTACGTGACTTTAGCGAAAGAACCAAGAAGATGAATCCCTGCAGTCACGAAAGCTTTAAATCGAAAAAATTAAACTATTCTATTTTACCAGGTCGAGCCCACTCATTTTTCCGAGGCGACCTGGCCACACATGATAACTCACCGAAGTGGCGGCTGATCATCGCGTGTGGGAATTTATCGCAGCAGCTAAATGATCTGTACACATGTGGGAGGGTTGCGAAACCGGATGAGGTATCCAGAGAACAATCCATGCGACCACCACGGGGAGAGAGAGAACACGTGGACTCCGACTACACAACAGGAATCATCAGGGTCCAGGATCAAACCCAAAACTTCCTGCGTACCAGGTGAGGGAGATAACATCTCTTCACCACCACCTTTACGCGAGGGCGAGTGGTCACGAGGTTGATTGGTCAATGATGCGGACCGCAGACCGAATGGCCTGGGGTTCGTGGTGCCTGACAGCTAAAAGAAGTGAACGTTATTTTTTGCTCTTGTTTAGTGTTATTGCAAACATTTAACAAAATATAAAATAGGACTCAAAACTTCGTTCGTTATTTTGGAAGTGAAATAACCTGTGGCCTTGCAGGCAAAGTCAAGCGACAGCCAGGCCAACATTCGGCGACGCCACACAGCTGCCCGAAATAACTTTGCCTGTCTCGTCGCTTACGCCTGCTCATCGTCTTCCTCTCGATTACTCATCGGCGAAGAGGTCAGCCAGGTCGGCCACGGTCCAGATGGAGGCGTCCGACTGCGGCCGGCTCAGAGGCAGAGGTCTGCAGGAGGGAGGAAAAAATAAACAAAGACGAGCAAAGCCACGTCTCCCGTCAATAGAAGGCAGCGGACAACAACAAATAGCGGCTTCTGATTGCCAGTGACTCACCAGAACATTGGCACGTTGATAATAAAAAAAAATGACGGTAAAAGTGCAGCCCTTCATTCCCTTGCTCAAGCCACTCCACTTACGAGGCGCGGGTTACACCGCCTGGCTTCCGAGCGTCACCAACAGTATGGCTCCACGGCTCTCGAGTCGTGGAGAATTATCGTGGCGCCTTATAAAGCACACTGTTATTATTTACTACTACTACCACCGCCACAGGAAGCTCTCAAGAGCCACCTCTTACAAGTTGGTATGGTGTATTAATTCTAGATTTGAAGCTTTCGTGACTGCAAGGATTCATACTCGTAGGTTTTTTCGGTAAAGTCACGTAGGTAAAAAATAAAATAAATATAAATAAAATAATAAATCACGACATTTCGGAGGCAACACAAGCTTCCACCTGAAGACGGAAGCTTGTGTTGCCTCCAAAACGTCGTGATTTATAATTTTATTTCTATCATTTGATTATTATTTATTATTTACTTCATTTTTTACCTACGTGACTTTACCGAAAAAACCTAACAGTATGGTATGGTGTACCCTTCCACGTCTTGAAAGAGCTGGGAGTACCCCCACTGCGGCCCACCACAAGTGGCCTGTTCATCGACTAACCGGTGGAATGCATTTATACTGCTGGGTATGTGTGTCTGTTGGACCTCTCTCGCACCGTACGTAGCCAACCGTGCTAATCGGAGGTGCCGGGAAGGACAACATTGGTGGGAAAAGAGAGGGGGTCGGGGATTTAAGAATCTTGCATCATTGTTTCAACTGCGACATCGGGAGATCCAGCTGGCGACCTTTGGATTGCAAGCCCAGCGCGCGAGCCATTACAAACCATGACACCGCGGCAGCATTCAAGGCCTAGGGATATTTGCTTGAAAATGCTGCGGCTATTCATTTTTTCGTTTTGATGAAAACTGCTGGCGTGATTTACACGCCTATCGCCCCTCGCACCATTACGGGACGCAATCTAATTTGGCGACCCCGAAAACGGCGCACAGCGTGGAAGCATGGAATATACGTGCCCCCGTAAGGCACGTCGCACCACCACCACCACCACCATCATCATCGCAGGTAATGGCACGCCACCAACATTGTTCTCTTTTATACGCATACACAAAGACGAAGATTCCCCACATAGCCTTTCACAGAGTGTTAGGGCAAGTGCTGTTTGCGAGCACATATGAAGGACGGCCCGCACGGCACACGCAGGAGGTGGGTGGGTGGCCAACACCACGCCCGGCCGCCTTTGTCTCCCCAGTGGTGATGTTCAGACACCACACCAGGTACTCATTTGAAGCTGAGTCGACCTAGGGGAGGCCCACGACCGGTTCAGATAATCGTCACTGGTGTTGTCCGTGAGCGGGAATCAAATTCGGGTCGCTAATCACTACACAACCACCCCGCAAATGTTGTTGGAAAATCAATTTGTTGGGATGGCCTGGATGCTTTGGGCATCGCGACGATGGGCAGACCACGGGAGGGGGGGGTGTGGGTGTGAAGCCACAAAACTCACACACCCGGACCCACCTAGCCCCCCCCCATACCCCTGCCCCGCCCCCCTCTTTGTACCAACGCGGCTCGCACAGCTTGAACAGCGCTATTTATTTTTGACAGAACGAATAGCCCGTTGTGAAGGTCTGTGGGGCTTTATGGAAATATAGATGTCACAAGCAGGATCTCACCACATCCCAGCCAGCTGTGTTCGATTAAACGATGCATTTTCAACCGTCGTCATCTTTCTGCCAGTCCAGTGTGTCAGCGGGCCGTTGGGTGAATAAAGATTATTAAAATTGGTTTATCCTTCCATCTCTTCTCCCTCCCTCCTCCTCCTCCTCCACTCTCCAGTCATCAGCTGTTGTAGTCCACATGCTTCCTTAACATTTCAATCCGTCTTTTTCTTGAATGTCTCGCCTTAGTCCCGTCCACCCCGTCACCCCCCCATTCCTATTGGATACAACCCCATCTGGTGGTTGCGCGTCCGAAATATATCCGGAACAAATCACGGCCGCACGCGGGGTCACCCGAGGGGACACCGACGCTCAACCTGGTGCCGCTTCCCGGATCGTCGCGCTCGATGCTGTGGACCAGGCCTATCCAGGAGGCCTGCCTTGGGGGCGATGGATCGCGGTGACAGCGGAGGAACAATCGATACGGCCCACGAATGGCTTAGAGCGACTACACTAGTACCTCTTTATTCGTGAGCGATAACGCTGCGGAGATGCTCGTGCATAGCACGTTTCGCGGAGAGTGATATTGGCCTACGAAAAGCTTCAATAAATACGTAAACATTAAATATCATCGCTTTACCTCATCCCTTTATCTCATCACTTTCTCTCTCTCTCTCGATGCAGTTAGGTAGATTTCCAGATGCGATTCGCGGATAGCCAAAATCGCGGATAGCAAGTTCGTGAATAACGATGGAATACTGTACTACTATTGCTAACTATTGGCAGCATATTTATTTTGATTTAAAGCTTTCGTGACTGCAGGGATTCATATTATTGGTTCTTTCGGTAAAGTCACGTAGAAGGTAAATAATAAAATAATAAACATATAAAACAATACAAATTCTCACGACGTTTCGACTGCAACACAAGCAATCATCATCAGGTGTGTGGATTTCCCTTCTACGTGACTTTACCGAAAGAACCAATAGAATAGAATATTTATTGTTTTCCATTCATTGTATATCAATACCTGTCAATCCCTTATCAGTGCCAACCTTATTACAGACCAATTCAGACCTTATTGGTCACCCCGTGCCCTTAGACATCTCAACGTTCATCCTATAAAGTCCCATCACAAGGGAGAAATACAAACAAAAGAGACAAAAAAATGTGCCCGAATTGAAATGGCTGTACGCCATATGTACCTGAAAACTCAATTTCCCTGGACAAGAATACAGGTAAACCGTATGGGTTGACAGGTATGGTATATGTCCATAATGAGGATACGAACAAATAACTAAATATATTTAAATGCACTGCTCTATGAACCCTGAGATCTGCATTTCAATCCTGGTCACATCAGGGTGATGAGTGATCATTATCATTCACTGATTTTGATGAAGCTACGTTGTAGTGCTTTGGGGCTCTTCTTGCAAATGACATTAGTCTATTTCGGGGGAAAATGTTGAAATAAATGGTTAAATAAAGGTCACCATTCCCAGGATGCACTCAGCGTCTCCAAGTCCTTGAGCTCCGCTCAGAACACAATAGCGACGATGAAAGGAAAAAAATTCCACATCGGGAAAAGAAAAAAATCTATACAATTCCCAAAGAAATCTGTTTGGAAGAAGAGAGGAATAAAAAACAACTGATCTGTTTCCACAGTAGCCAGATGTTTTTATCCTCGGGCTTTTCAGCTAAAACGATTTGTGTCCCCACGCCACGAGACACTGCCGGCATTCGCATTGAACGTCCAGATTACAAACTCTCTCCTTTCTTTCTTTCTCTCTCTCTCTCTCGCCTTTTGTGGCGACGCGATTCGCCCGGATTTTGCTTTGTTCCGAAAACTGATGAATACGAAATAAAGTCCAATGGAAATTAATTGCTGCGAGGTTTCAAATCTGAGTTAAGAGAATTCTATCTTTTAATGCAGTATTGATTTTTTTGTTTACCCCGGCCCTTTTTTTTTTACCCCACCTCACTCCTGGTGCCTGTGGCATGGAGATAAACTACTGGGTAATAATGGAAATGGTGAATACTTTTTTTTAAACTTAGAAATGAAATAAATATATCGTTGGCATGCTTAGTGCGGTTCTGTTTGACGGTCTACATGTGCTTGATGCGAAAATCCAAGTAAAAAATTGGCATTTGGAAGAAAGCATCTGAGAGCTCGAATATCCCGTAAATTGATTGTATTTTAATGCCAATACACACCTTGGGCAAGGGACTTTCTCCACAATCCCACCGAAAATTGAGTGCAGCGGATTGGGTGCAAGTTTTTCTTAGAAACCCCTACGTTATTCAGACTTCACGAGCTTGAATTGACCTTCAAAAAAAGTCAAACAAAGATCGCGTAAATATATAAATGTGAACGTTAAACCCGCCACCATCCGACACAGCCAACTAGTAAGGGTTGTCACGTAAACAGAACGTGGCCAATTCGTTACTAGTACAGTACACCAGTGTGTTGTCGAGCCAAGCCACGACATTTACAATCTGAGTGCGACGTTTCGCCAGTAATTACAACCAGCTTCATCAGGCGACAGCCAGATTTGTGGAAAAGTCCACCCGTTTCGTTCCTTATAAAGAGGCGTAGATGTGATGACCACACTTCTGCGCTCTTGAGTCAACGTACATTATGCATGCGCATTATGCGAGCGGGTTTAACGACACATTCATATATTTACGCGATCTCACCGAAAAAAAAAACCTCTATTATGCATATTCGTCACGAAAGCCTACGTGTTAAAGAGACAAAAGCTTTGCACTTCGCCAATAACAATGTGGTCCTTAAAGGAAAGTAAATAAATAAATATATCAATAGCTGACGTTTCAGGCAATGGCCCTCTTCATCATCATCACAATCCATGGCCAGATAGCCCTGTAGGTGTCCACCGCACACTCAGTCATTAGTTTCCACTTTCCCCTGTCTTGTTGCCAATATTTTCAAGTTGTGGCCACTTCTCTCTGGCACCAATCTCTTGTGATGTCGTCGTCAAACCCATTCTCTCTTAGGTCTTCCTCTCGATTTCCGGTTCGTTCGATGTTTCCGAACGACAACACTTTTAATGTCCCTGTTGTTGTCCATCCTACACGCGTGTCCAAACAGTGCCAGTTTCTACACCATGGGAACCTCATTTGCCAGTAAAAATATGATAATTGGTTTTTCACCCTTCTATCTGGCAACAAACCTGACACCTTTTTTTTTTACAAGGAGTCTTGTTTGCATAGGCCATAATACCTGCAGTCATAATGCAAACAAAAAACATAACTCTGGCGTCATCTGGTCCAACCCATGTGAGACTAGGCTCTAAGGAAAGCTGTCTCGGGTGTGGATCAATCAACTTCAAGGACAGTGCACATTATCAGAGTTATGTTTTTTGTTTGCATTATGACTGCAGGTATTATGGTCTATGCAAACATGACTCCTTGTAAAAAAGGTGTCAGTTTTGTTGCCAGATAGAAGGGTGAAAAACCAATTATCAGTGCCAGTTTCCTTCTCATCACTGCCTCAGGTCTTCTGTGTGCAACGTCTTTCTTACTTCGACATTGGTCACTCTTTGGGTTCAGTCTAGATGCAGTGTCTTTCAATAGCAACACATTTTGAATACCAAGATCCTCTTCATAGCCATATCAATGGGAATAAAGTATGTTACAGTATAAACGTTCATTGCTATGCAATACTATGCTATTCTTTATAAGAACAAGTACTCTGCAGACTACGTTTAATAACATGGCTTAACAATGTGCTAATTTGAATTTAACAATGCAACCTGGTTTTCTTGCACTTCAGTACTGCCTAACATATATTTCAGGCTTGGGCATGCATGATTATTAGAACAGTTTACGAAAACCATTCAGGAATTGCATTGGCGGCAGTGCACAAGCACAAATCGCAAGCACAAAGGTACGATCCTCGCACAATGCGCTACGAACATAGTGGACCCGTTGACCGGCACGGGTTTCGTGAACTGAGCAAAAGCCACGAGAACTTCGCAAATGAGACCGACGGCATGGAGTAATATTTAACAAAGTGGAGCAGTGCGAGAAAAGAAGCAGAAGGAGAAAGTGTTGTGGCCTGTAGTGCGGTGGCTCAAGGACATCGTGGATGAGACCCGAGTCCTAGGCATGGGTGGAAGGAATCCCTGAGTCCAAGCCCGTGAGAAACAATAAGCATCGTTGTCATGATAACATCACAAATATTTCAAGAGTTGCATCTTAACCCTTCCCCGTTTCGAGACGACTGCAAGGTGCAGGGTGGGTGTCCCGTTCACCGCCGAATCTCAGAACGCGCAAGCGGTTCAGCGGTAATTTTATTCGAAGAGGTGTAGCGCTACTGTTTTTAAAGACACTGTACTCACCGCAGACGACTGTAGCGACACGACCGCCCTCTATGATAGCTGCCGCACGCCCTACCACACGCCCGTGTGGGAGCATCGGTACCGATAAAGTTATTTATTTCAGTTTTTTCTTCCGATTAAACTGCTGACGTACACGTAACATACGTCATCGGAACAGGAAAGGGTTAAGAGTGGTGCGACAACCACAACTCCGCCGACGCACGCAGACCAGGCGGTGTCGGTGCGACGAGCCACTCACATCTTTTCTGCCGATTTCAGCATGGCTACCATCTTCTCCTCGATTGTGGACTTCACGGCAAACCTGTGCACCACAGTTGGCCTGAAAAACAAAGGCAGCGCAGCGTGTGCAGCAAGACGCCCGCGTCACTCAACGGCGAGAACGAGCCCCTTTCGCGGAACGCGCAATCATAGAACGCGCCGCGCAACACCCTGGGGACAAGGCTCTCTGGCAAGCGGTTTAATATCTTTCGTGAAGGGCGAGTAAATAAACCAATTAGTTGAACCCCGGAGAGCCAAGACTATTGTTTCGTGTTATATCATCTCATTGCGAGCTGTGGATATGCTTGAAATTGGAGCTGGGAAGATTGGTTCTTATCGGTCCCTTGATAAAAGGCGGCCTTCCTTGGCATCCAGCCCCAGAGCGTGGAAATGGGAGCCTCCACATTATGTGGTTTCCAGAGGCTGACTTTGCAGCAGTGGGCAGTGGTGATTGTAATGCGTTGATGAGTCCGAATAAGGGTGAAACCGGCCCACAGTTGTCTATCTCTGTATCACCGCTGCCCGTCAGTGGGTCACATTTGCTCAAATTAATTTTGATGGTGACCAAAGAACAAAGGACCACAATGCACTCCTTTCAGGAATTGCTGAATTGTTTTGCATACCCCAAAATGGCTGTTTGCTATGTACGCATTTTTGATTTTCTGGCTTGCACTATTGATCGATTAAGCATGGGTTCTTCTCGTCATTTACACATCTGATTTGAGCTTGCTGAAGGCAGGAAAACCACCCCTATAAGCCACAACCAGCGTGATGCTGACGATTACGTAGACGACGGGAAGAGAGGCGAGAGCTTTTTTTCCCCCAAATGACATTCGTGTTGTCCGATTAGTCGAGTGAACTGAACCGATAATCTAGAAAGCAATCGATTAATTAAACGAGTGGACAGCCCCCGCTCCACTTGAAGAAACCTTCAAAGGACAATTGCGAGTGGCTCGTTGAATGTAAAAGGGTAAGGTAACGGTACAGCCCTGCAATTTATTGCTTGCGCCACTGTTGGCTGAAGGGCCTCCACTAGGATGAGTTCTGGAGAGTCTCATTAGATGGCATTTGGCTTAGTCTTCCACGCCAGCCAGACATCTTGAGAGCGGTGAGAGTACCCACAACTTGCCCCACACGCGACCCTGCCGTATGAATGGCTGTAATGAAGCCATTCATACGGCTGGGTGGACAGAGGTGGCCCGCGGCGGAGGGGGGGGGTGGGATTTAAGAAACTTGGCCATTGTTTCGAGTTCCACGCCGGGAGATCGTCGACGTCTGCAACGCGAGCACACTGTGCTAACCGTTGCACTGCCGCGGCCTCAGCGGCAGCGGCGGCAGCAGCAGCAGCAGCAGCGTGGCCCTTGAAGAGTTAAGGCAAATTTGAGTGATCGGCAGAGTCTATCCAAGTGTTATTTTTATCCCTGCTACTGGCAGGGTGGGGAGCAGCCGTGCGGATCGCTTTGCCGATTTATGGTGGAGTGAGCTTGATGGGCTGGATGGCCTTTTCACTTTGCGTAACTTTCCGTGTCCCTACGCGTTCAACGACGACAGGTCTTGGACACCTGCCTACAGCTCGTAACGCGCGTCTAGTCTGGCGCGCTCACACCGCATGGTTAGCTTGGCGTTGCGACATCAGCGTCATACACATACGCCACCACCCATGAAAACGAGCCGTGTGTGCGGGCTCGTAAGTAATAAAGTAAGTCTGCGACGCATTTAAAAAAAATGTTCTCTCTAGCCAGACAGCAGTGCTTGCCAGTAAATGCTCATGCTCACACCGCGACATGCATTGCAGCAAATTAGAATCTCTATTCAGACTGGAGGGATCCGATGGGCTGTGAAGCTCTTTTTCATGGATGTCCAGTCAGATGCGCATCGTGTGCTGTCTTGAAAAAATGTAATTATATTTAGACATTTCGATTTAAAGCTTTCGTGACTGCAGGGATCCATCTTCTTGGTTCTTTCGGTAAAGTCACGTAGAAGGGAAATAACAAAATAATAAAAATAAAACACAATATAATTTATTTTACTAAAATAAATGTTAATAAAATAAATTGTAATAAAATACATTTTAATAAAATAATTTTTATAATGTTGTATTTTAATAATTTTCTTATTTCCCTTCTACGTGACTTTACCGAAAGAACCAAGAAGATATATTTAGACACTCTCAAAGGTAAGACATAGTAAAGGTGGAGCCCTGCAATTGCTTGCCAATGCCACTGCTGGCAGAAGAGTCTTGTCTTTGAGTTGTGCGCCTTTTGGCGTCATCTGGTCCAACACCACGTGAGATTAGTAGGCTCTGGACCAATCAATTTCAAGGACAGTTGCATACATTATCAGTTGTCCTTTTGCTTGCATTTTGACCACAAGTGTTGTGGTTAATGCAAACATGATCCCTTGTATAAAGGTGTCAGTTTTGTTGCCAGTTAAAAGGGTAAAAACCTATTACTATAACTGGTTTATCCTTTCCATGCCGGACAGACGTCTTGGAAGAAGTGGGGAGAGTACTCACAGTTTACCCCACCATATGTCCTGCCAATGGACTAACTGTGTTGTACCCGTGCTAATCGGCAGTGCGAATCTCATCGCTCCGTCTCCAGACTGGTCATTCTCTCGGTCACATTCCCTCCCTAGGTTGCCACTGCATCAGCTGTTATGTCCCTTCTAGCCATGTGTGCTGTTCAATCTCCCTTGCCGTTCTAAACATTCAATAAGTTGTCTCCAAATTGTGTTTGTTCTCTGATCCGTGTATTCTGCTTTGTGTCTCTTGAATTTTACTCCCATTTCACAATTTGTTCCACCAGAGTTCAATTGGTCCACTACTTTCCCTGAAAGATAAAATTAATACGTTGATTAAAGCAGACTTCACTTCAAAATAAATTCCAATGAATATTAAAAAGTCATAATTTAAATATTTTATCCTGCAAAAGCAATTCACTTCACAAAATTACAAAACCACTGAGCATCACAACTGGCACTCGCTTTTGCAATGCATGTTGGGTGCCAAGTGTGAGTAGAGTCTGTGGCGTTGCCCACACAATGTCGCGAGCATAATTTGTGTACGTCTTTAAAACGCGTTTTTTTCCCACATCGTTTTTCTAATATGCACGTTACAAATTATTTTTTGCCGTGCTTTCTCCTCCTCCACCTACGCCTGCCCCTCCCCTACGAAACAAAGATCGCCCCATCGTCTCACACGAGTTGACGTGCGCACGCACAAACTCGGATGTATGTACGTTGAACTTCTTTCGCACCGTACGTAGCCAACCGTGTTCATCGGAGGTGCTGGGGAGGCAACAAACTAAACACAAAAAGCAGTTCTAAAGAAACGATAAACCCAAATCGTAATTGTACATCACGTACGGCTGACGTCACTTCATCTCGCAGCTTTCGCTTCCACGCGTAACGTCACTGAAATAGAAATCCGACCGTGGAAAATCTCATCGATTCACAGTGCGCGGGGAAGGGCAGGGGGGGGGGGTGGTGGTGGTGGTGAACCGCCGGGTATGTGCCGCCGTGCTGCCGTACCGCGTCTGCCCGATGCGGTGAACCCTGCCTATGGCCTGCATCTCGGTGGCCGGGTTGAGGATGGGCTCCACCAGGATGACGTGGGTGGCCTCGATGATGTTGAGCCCGTTGGAGCCCGTGTGAAGTGGAAGCAGCAGCACGTTGGTGCCCGGGTCGTGCTTGAACGCACTCAGGTTCTCCTGTACAGAGCCACGCCAAACAAAGACAAAGATCCCCCCCACCCCGGTATAGCCTTAACAGACTCTTGGGGCAAGTGCCGTTAGAGAGCATCCATTAAGGCGTGCATGGCGCACGAGGGGGTGGGTGGTCAGCACCGCGATATGGCTGCCTGTTTCTCTCCAGTGCTAATGTTTACACACCACACCAGGTACTCATTTAAGGTTGAGTCAACCTACATCAATATCCATTCAGAAGGCAAACAAGATGAACGTGAGACTCCCCTTAACACGAAGTATGTTTTTGCAGCTGATATGGTGCAACAACCTGGCCGGATTTCGTGTCGTTAAGACCCTCCACCACCCGACACAGCCAAACAAATTATCCTGTCACGCGGTGTCCAAGCGTTTAAACGATGACGCCGATTATTATTTTTTTGGTTGCAGCTCACTCACCCGGTGAGCTGAAAAACAATTCTCACAATCGAATAAATTTAAACATCGAGTTCGATTCCCAGCTACAGCTGACTTGAGTGGCGAGAGATATCTGAACCGGTCCTAAACACCTGCACTCGCGACCCCCGTTCACCAACCGCACCGACCGGCGTGTTGTGGGGTATGGTGAATCAAACCCCCATCACTGACACAACTAATGCATCATTCCATAAAGCTTTATGGTTGTTAATGTTTGACTTGCATCACACTGGGATTTTTTCACACAGCGTTGTATAATACGGTGTGTTTTTATGGAAGATTTGCTGGTTTATCCAGGATGTTTCTGTTGCACGTCGTTGTTTTAAGATGTTCTCTGTTCATCTTTTGTTTGTTGCAGTTGCACGCGACTCAAGAGCCGCATGGCTCACAGGGCTATACCTAATAAATGAAACTTGAAACAGTAATGATGTCAAAATATTAAAATGCAAATGTGCTCGTCCCTGTTGTTTTGCAAGTCACTTTCATTATTTGCTTTATCCACAATGCGACGCCCTTGCTAATATCGCCGTGCCCAATAATAACCCTTCCTTTCCTTACCACGGCAATTACATTGACATTTGGGCACGCAAGGCTGATGGTCTTAAGGGCATTTAGCTTTAATGTCAGCTCCACTTATAGTCGTAATGCATTATTGAGGTCCCCGAAGCACGATACAGCACTAAGCTCCACGATAAACGCGCGGCACAAATGCAAACTCAATCAATATCACCGCAAAAAATATATATGCAGCAGACCACGGCTGTGTCAGAGCAACTACGTTTACGTCCGAGTCCTCGGTTAGAGACCAAATCTCAGTCCCTGCATCTGTGCCAAGTTAGGAGTATGGGATGCAGTGTCATGCTTATGACCACTGATATTGGAATGTTGCGACGCTGGGCACGCAGTCAACGCATCGGCCAACACCAGAAGCCTTTGAATGTATTTCGATTTTATTTGTTTTGTCCTTCTCCATTTCGAATCTTTGATCCAAAATTCCACTGCCACACTTCATGCCAGCAGCCATAAACAACAGCACATCGCCCCCAACACTCCGATCCGTTTGCTGGCTCCCAATCCAATCTCAACTGTCAGGGTCCTCAATGGACTCGCCCCTGCCTACAGCGTTGCCCTCTCATCTCACTCTCCCACTCTTCACGTGCTCACTTCTCCGGCAAACAAGGCCAGGAGGTCACTCTGTCTCCCCTGCTGCCTGTCATTGTCTTTAACTCCCAAACCCCTGGCCATCCGAGTTGTTAACTCTGCTCCTCTTCGTCGTCTTTTCTCCTCTGCCTATGACTGACTTATGTATTTTTATTTAAAGCTTTCGTGACTGCAGGGATTCATATTATTATTTCCCTTCTACGTGACTTTACCGAAAGAACCAAGAATATGACATATGTATGTTGAACTTCTTCCGCACCGTATTTAGCAAATTGCACTCATCGGAGGTGCGGACTGGCCCTTCTCTTAAAAAACAAACGTGTATGGCATATGTATAGGTCTTCTTTTTTTTTTTCCTGTGACACGTCCCACTCTGTGTGCAGTGTCTTAAAATGTAATTGCATTCAGACACTCTCAAAGGTAAGAGATGGTAAAAGTGCAGCCCTGCAATTGCTTGCCCATGCTACTGCTGCCAGAAGGATGTCCACTCGAGGGAACTCTAGAGAAGTGGTTTATCCTTTCCATGTTGGCCAGATGTCTTGGAAGAAGTGGGGAGAACCCACAGTTTATCCCACCACACGTGGCCTGCCCGAGGAATCAACGGTGGTGTATCCATTTATCCTGCCGAGTGGACAGAGGCGGGGTACGGAGGGGGGATTGAAGAAAATTGGCCCGTTGCTTCAACTACCCGTGTCGGGAGATCGAATCAGCAGCCTCTGGAGTACCAAGCATTACAACATGTCAGCAATCCTCAGCCATTCTCTAAATCAGAATCCCATTGTATTGTGTAACTGTATTCGGCAATCCATGGCAGGCCAGCAGGCAGGGCACGTGTATTCGAAGCGACTTTCTACCTACGGCAGGCGCTTCGAGAACTTTAAGAAGGATCCTCTGCCACGGTCTGCACACGGCGCAAGAACGAGAAGCACTCCTGACGGATGTCGCGCTGCGAGGAGGCACCGCTGCAATTTCCGGAGTCTACTCATCGCTCACCAAGCCAGTGGTGACGGCACTTCGTCAGCCAGAAACACGCTCTGACGGCCGAAACCGCGCTCGACACTGACAAACCCTTGAGAAACAGGGATGGGATCTCCTGATAAAACATGGGGTGGGGGGTGGGAGGAGGCGGGGGGATGGGGTGGGCCATGCCAGCCGGTGCTAGGAACAAAATTCAGTTGCAAAATCCCCTCGCTTGGCTCGAATTAGGCGACATTCGACAGCAGGAGACGGGCACTCTGTTCAATAGGACATGGAGGATTAGGTCAATGAGCCAGAGAGATGCGTCCGATTGATATAATTTCAATGCATAGGTATGGGTGAATTAGATGGAGATTATGTTCTCTCTCTGCTGGGAGAATAATGGAAGCTATTTATTAGTCATCCGGTATTAATATTCAGGGCAGGAGGGTGAAGTGTTTGGCGCACTGCGCCACAAATCCAGCTGCCTGCGATTTGATACCCGGTCGCGGCTAACGTCAGTGGCAAGTGATATCTGAAGTGGCCTTAGGTGCCCGGCCGCTCCCTCCTATCTCAAACGCGTACCGACCAGCGCACGGAAGAGTCCTGGGACTGACAAGACTGACAAAGCGCCATGGTAGCGAGATGTTAACTACCTCACCTGGTATACAGGTCGTGAGTTTGATGCTGACCCGGACGCCTGCTGGATATTTGGAGTTTGCATGTCTCTCTTCCTGTGGTCACGTGGATTTTTCTCCGAGTTCCCCGGTTTTCCACTCCACATTTAGAATCGCGCATTGAGAGTATCTGGCTGCTATAAATTCCCACGTGATAAGCCACTTCGTGGAGATATCATTTGTGGCAAGATCGCTTCTGAAAAAAAGCTATTTAGTTCAGTGGGCCTTACCTGGTTAAACCAAAATTTTTTGTTCTAAAAATAGTTGTCGACATGGCATGGGGAGGAGGGCCATCATCCAGCAGTGGAGTTACAAAGGGCTGTACATTTATATTAATCGTGATAAATACTTTTTTTTTATTTACTTTGGCAGTCATACAAGCTGAGTAGCTAATTTAATGAAAATAAAATATGAAAAAAAAGGAATTGTTTTTCCACATAAACACTTACTTTAATTTTCCTTTCCATCTCAAACGCAAGACGAATGAGAAACACTGGTAATCTATTCATACAGGAAAAATCCTCAACCACTCGCAACTCTGGAAGGTTCTACAGTGCGATATTTTGCCAATTCCTTTTCCACGGATGTTTGCATAAAAGACCCATAGCATGAAAAATATCCAGCTTCCATTCTACATTTTCAGACATTTAATGAGGCAAATGTCATTGACGAGTTACAATGACATACAGCACACGGAGTGGGACAAATGCTTACACACCTGCCAAAGATTATATTTAGGCTAGGGTATGTTTCGATTTCATCTCTATTGGCTCTGTCTATCCAGTGGTTAAAAGATGCATTCCAATACACGTACTGGGGGATATCTGGGCAGGTGACGCAGTGATGTGTGTGATTTGTGATGGAAAAGGTGTAAAATAAAATCCTGGCTAGAGGTGGTAACTCAACCCTTAAAAAGTGGTTTTCCTGTAGAAAGACTCGCCATAGGAATGTGGAATTTCCACCACTGGCTCAGGGTTGTAACGTGGAGATCAGCTCAACTGAGCAGGAAACCACTTTAATAGTTTTTTTACTGTACTTGACGGAGGCTGCCACGGTGGTGTAAATGTTTGGCACATTGACCTTGAAATCCAGAGGTCGCTGGTTCAATTCAATCTCCATGCGTGGCAGTTGAAACAATGGGGGTCAAGTGTCTTAAACCCCCCCCCCTCGCCGACCTCTCTATCCATCCAGCAATATCAATGGGTCTATCACAGTTAGTCAATCGGCAAGTCACACGTGTTGGGGTAAAGTGTGCGTACTCCCACCTCTGCTAAAACAACGTGTGGCCAACGTTGAAGACTCGTATGAGTGAGCGAGCAATTGCAGGGCTGCACCTTAACCTTTACGATACAGGATGGCTAGCTTGTGGGCTGCAACAGTGGGTGTTCTAATTGTTCGGGATTGGTGCGGGTAATCTCAGAAGCCATCGGACCCAAAAGAAAAGCAGGATCACTGAAAGCTAAACGACCAAGCCAGCTCTTATGCTCTCTTAGAATAACTGCACATTGGCGAGGCTGCTCACTGCGCTGGAAGACATACATATATATTCTTGGTTCTTTCGGTAAAGTCACTTCGAAGGGAAACAATAAAATAATAAAAATATAAAACAATAAAATTATCACGACGTTTCGACTGCAACACAAGCAATCATCATCAGATGTGAAATACACAGCAAGAATAAAAAAAAAACGCCACTTTTTTCAAAATTTCTTGCTGTGGATTTCACACCTGATGATGATTGCTTGTGTTGCAGTC